AGCTGTGTGCTTTTAAATTATAATTACTTTTTCCTTACAAAAGATGTGTATTTGTCTTGATTGCTCTAATTATGATTCTATACCAGCAAACACTTATAAAAGATTCATGTCATCACTGTGCTTCATAAAACCCATGCCCTTCCATAAACTGCCTTTGGTGACTGTTTATATGTTTGTGTTTAATTTGTGGCAGGGAAATCTAATGCGAAACCATTAATCATTAAGTACATAAAAATTTGTGTCTTTAACTACATAGACCAAACTAAATAGGCAAGCCCATTATCGGTGTGACAAATTGCTTTCATAAGTACAGTAACTGAAGAAAAATAATGTAGTCTAAGCTCATTTTGCAAAACATATTCGAAATTAGAAGGGAGAAACATGTAGTTTAGTGACTGAAAATGTGACAAAAGCAGAAACGGGAGATTCAAGGTCTAAACTGGCATTAATGGATACAAGGCCCCAGTGGACCTCATTCATACTGGTTTTCAAGAATCATGGTGAACTAATGAGAAGCCTCAGAGGCCTACCGGGGAGGCAGAAGCTGGGGACACTGAGCTAGGAGCTGACTTTTATCCCCACATACACCCATTTTATTAGAGCCACCCCTACTTGGCTCTATTTTGTATTTAATGATTAAATAAGAAGACCATTGGCTGTTTCCCCCCCCAAGTTTACTGTTGACTGGAGTCCTTTTTTCAAGTCTTACAATTGAGATCTACTGACCTGGTGAAATTTCTCCTCTTCTTCATCACTGGGTTGTATCCATTCATTCAGGCAACAACTCTCCACTGAGCATGTTCTGTATGGGTTATGAGTGTGCTGTAGTCATAAACACACTCTGTTCTCCAAGAGTCCACAGTCTAGAAAGAGAGGGTTGAAGAGTGATAATCGCTGTGGAAATATAAGCTCAAGGAGCCTGGAGAGCACATAGGAGAGACAACCAAACCTGTCAGGGATTTGAGGGCCAGAGTATAGGATGAAGTTTCCAGAAGAAAATATGGATGGTAGATCTCCCTTTAAATGTCTTTCTTTTCTCTCTAACTTTAATGAAAACTCCTGGGACTTCTTTTAGAAAAAGATGAGAAGCCAAAGTCCTGAGAAAAGTAAACAACTTTATTTCACTCACTGACTGTAATCCAAGGCAAATTGCTTAACTCCTATGAAAATTCCACATCAACATCTGTATATACAGGACCAGTAATGATAGAATGTACCTCAAAGCATTGTTAAAGAGATTAGATAATCGTGCAAAAATGCCCATAAAGCTAAAAATTTCTTTAAAAATGTGGACTGCTGTTGTTGCTAACTCTCTGCTGAAGACCTTAATTCTCATTAACCTACATGGTCTTTCCCAGCTAACTCAAGATTCTGGTCCTTCGGAGTGCTGGCATGTGTTGAGCAACTGGGAAGAATGCCATTTCACAATATAAGTCATAATTAATAGCAATAACACTTGTGAAATCTTCATTTAAAAGCAGACCCTCTTCAGTTTTAGTATGAAGAAATGTTCGATACAGCCTCACCACTCGCAGATCTATACAGGGGGCTCCTTTTGCCATCTTCTCTCTCAATTAGGGTTCAGCAGTCCTCTCCCCTTGCTCAGACCACTTCTTAAACCGTATCATGTGAAAACATTAGAATGTGCTCAAAGAATATGCTGGCAAATAAAACAAAGGAAGTAGTAAGTCCAGGAACTCAGAGAATACATACTGGTAGAGGTGGTTTGGACTTAAAACCAGATTTTCCTTGAAGGGCCTTAAGATTGTATTTTCATCCAAACTTTTTTTTTTTTTTAATGTGAGTGTGAACTACCCCGGTTTCTAAATGCCCCTTGGCCTCCTCAGCTTCCTAACTAAATTTTTATTCACTTAAAGTGCTTGTACTGACCTAAAATCAAAATCACCTGTGCTTAAATCCTGTGGCTCACTACTATCGAGGAGCAGAGTTCAAGAACTCTAATTTGGTGTTTGGGCCCAAACACACCCTGCTGAGTCAGAAACTCTTGGTCTCTGTGGACAGCATTAGTCAATAGTCCTCAGAACAAAGTTCCCATGAATCTCTGTGGGGCTCCTGTGACCCACTGCAAAATAATTGTGGATGTGTGTTTGTGGGCTCTTGAGGAAAGAGACTGGTATTTGGAGCACAGTAGCTGCTCAAGGTTTGTTGAATGAATGAATGAACATAATAAAGGCCTATTATAGTTTCCCTCCATAGTTGGATTTTTCAGGTTTCATACAGGTTCAAAATGAACCCAGTCAGTCAATAATCAAACTAAACCGAACTCACCATAGGTTTTTCATTGTTTTACTTTTAATATTCCAACTGAAGCCTGAAGAAATTTGACACAAAATGAAAAGCCTGCTCCCAAGGGGTACTTCTACTCCTACTATCTTAGTACTTGCACCAGGGTTAAAACCAGGGCCCATTCATTGCCTTAATATTCTTTCTACAGATTCAAAAATGTAGAAGAATTTATACTCCTTATAATGACACTACAATGCAGGCTATTTGAACAAGGAGTGACAAATTCCCTCATGAAATAAAAAACAAAACTGAGAGATCTCCTATAGAGGTCAAAAAGTTTCTATCCATTTTCTTCCTCAAATTCTAGAATTCTTTACTCGTGAATGCTGAAGTTGGCCAGTTCTGTTCTATGTTGTAATTTTCAAATGCATGTTAACCACGATTCCTCATATTTTAAACTAATTAATGGGATGTCCATTTAAGGATAAATTAGATTTGGTTATTTCTTGTTTTAGTGATCACTTTTTGCTCAAAAAAAGAATTTACCTACAACATACTTTATAATAGAATGTTCAAAGAGAAATCTTGGCAGCTTTTTCAAAAGGAGCAGGAGCAGCATTTACCACATGTGGTTCTTTTTTCACTCTTGGGTTTCACTCTTGAACTAAAATTAATATGATTCCCTGGCTCTGGGTCCCCTACCTGAGTAGCTTTAAATAAAATATGACATACAGAGGCTTGTTCATAATTTCTTAGTCTCTCACTTATTGAATACTTCTATGAAGGAAAAAAATGTATCAGTGCCTAAGGGTCTTATTTATAGCACAGGGGGAAAAGGCAGAAGTATGTGTTGAGTAAACCCATGTTGCCCCTGGGCATTGTTGCAATAGCTTTTCAAAAGAGAAAATGGTGGTTAAAAGAAGGAATTCCCAATATTTCCTGCACACTAAAACCCTGTGATTCAGATGAACTCTGAACTGACACTCTTGGCATCTCATTTTCTCATTAGGTTTTATTACAGCCAACAAAACATTCAGTGGTGAATTACTTCCCTTTTCAGGGGTATCCCAGACTCCCATAATGTCTGGACAAACTAAACTAATGAAATGGTCTTTAACCAAGTTTTAGGGATTAAGAAAATAAGGGAAAAGGGGGAATATTAGCAACTTCTCGTGTCTATGACCACCAAAGTGTGATTGTTCCAGTCTTTTGTCTTGCCTGTAGAAAAGAGAAGTAGAAAATGGAAATGTCAATGGGTTTGACATTCCACTTAAAATCGTTTAAAAACTTCTCTTAAGACCCTTGAAATACAAGTCACTACATATGACATAAGGACAAATCAGTCACATGGTTCACAGAGAACCTAGAGTAGTAAGTAAATGCTTTCAAATATAGACATAGTATGAGAAACACCTACTATATACCTCTAGACCAAATCTACACAAAAACTGGTAGATTTGTTTTAACACAGGAGGTTTGAAAGCATTTTGTTTTTTATCCTTGCATTAGGTTATCCCCTTACAAGTTATATTTACTTAATATTTATTATGTATCAGGTATAAGGTCAGTTCTTGCCCTCAGAGAACTTATAATCTAGTTGAGAAGGCAAAATTTAACATGATTTCAAACAAAAAGGAGCAGAAGACAAAATAGAATTTAATGTTAACCAACATGGTACAGATGCTGAATGACTAAGAAATCAATAGGAAGAGATACTGAGGGCTGGGACGAACAAAATTATATATATATTTTTTCAAAATTAATATTTTTAATACACTCTTAAAATGATACCAAATTCAAACCTCATTATAACTGCTGCTTACTTGTAAAATTGTAAAGCATTTACATATGTGCCATTGCTTTCCAACCAAAAGAAAGGTCCTCAAAAAGGCTTAGGAGAAACAGAGAAACAGTGAAGCTGACAGATGCATCTTGATTTGCTAATGACGGGGAAAAGACATAGTTTCATGTTGGATACAGACTCAAGAATTAAGCAGACTTTGCTTGGAAAATGATACTTAAGGGACAAGAATACAGAGCTCTAATTATAATTTTGGTTTGGGTTTTGTTTCTATGAAACTATTTTCTTCATGCTAAACAAGTTCTAAATTTTGGAGCTGAGTCCTGCTCAAAAAGAATTTTTAATTTTCAAAAAATCTATTCATAATCTATTTCCCTCCTCAAGGATAGGGTGGGAGAAAGGGAACGGGAGACATTCAGCATCCTTCAAAATTAAGCCATCTATCTGTACAGCAACTTATCTTGAAATCAAGAGATGTAGAGTGTAGGTTTGCACTCTTCTTAAATGCTTTCCACTTTACAGGTTAGCAGAGATCCTGTTCTCTTTGTGTTTTTTTTTTGTTTTTTTTTTTTTTACTTTTTTAGTCTTTGCCACGCAGGCAATTTGAGCTCAATTAGATTTGTTATAATAGAGTTTAAAATGCTAACACGAAGGCATGTCTCATCTTGTGTTTTGAATAACTTTAGGCAAGTTTAGAGAATTGTTGTAAGCGTTTTTCCCCTCCATACTTGATTGCTTTTCTGAGTCTTCCCAAGAAATGTTAGTTTTTCCCCCCAATTCTTAAAAGAGAGACGCTTTCATAACAGCTGTACCACCAGGCAAAAGAGCACACTCTCATGTTTCCTTAAGGGGAGGAAACCTGTAATAATGTGAAATAATTAAATATAACCATAGAAAAGTCTTCTTGGAACGGTTCTAGCCAAGACTCCAGCTTTCTGAGTGTGCGCTCTCCATTCTTCAGTTCTTCCTAGTCCGGGTTTTGCATTTCGAATGAAAATGAACCCACAAAGCGTGAAAGTGTTCTAAGGGGGGAAACAAAGCCAGCAAGCATGCTTCTGGTGCGCCAAGATTAATCAATATTCCAGAAACCCCGGGTTTCCCCCTCTCCCTCCCTGCGGAGTTTTCATTTCCCCACTCCCCTTTCCCCCCGGCACAGACTCCTCCCCTTTTCTTAAGTTGCTTGATAGTAACTTGCAATTTCAGAGCACATTTACACCGCGCTCGCCGCGTGTGCTTTCCGGCTCTACCTCCTGGGACGTTCACCTTGTCACTGCCTGGGGTATCTTCCACGCGTTACAAAATCAGAAAAGGTAGGTGTCGCGCTCTGTCTTCCTGCTGCGTTTGGTTTCTCGTTTCATTTCTCTGCCAATAGAATCTGTTTCCCAAGCAGAGGAGTAGCGAGAGTAAAAGCTAGCCATTTTGGTAGATAAAGTCCGTGTGGGTAATTTAATGTGAGCAGCGTGTCTGTGAATGCCGGGTTCCTCTTAATGTGGGCTCGAGTCATTCAGGATGGATTGGTGCAGACTGTGGTGCGAGATGGAATAGAAATCAAGACTGACCTCCTCTGTTTAAAAATGACTGTGAAAGGGGATCAGAGATTAGTTTAAAAAAAAAAAAAAAAAAAAAAACCTGGTCTCTCCTTCTCCCAGTCACTTCTCCCTAAAATTTTAATCAATTGTGAAGTTTTTAACAAGTAGGAGGTCTTACTGGCACCGACCCCCAACCTGCAATTTTATCTAAAAGTCAAAAACTGTTAAGTCAAATCATGGTTGTTTTTTTTTTTCCTACACTTGGATTTGCCAAAAGCTTCTGAGGAGTCTTTTGCCTTCCTGTCTCTTCAGACACGCGTTGGTTGCCAGCATTGCCAGATACACTCCATTGGCACAACTGGTTTTTATTGGGATTGATCAGGGGAAGATTATGGATTAGAAATCTTTTAAGGAGATAAGATGAATCCTTTAATGTTTTCAAAGTAGTTGATTTCCACCAAGGAGAGACTTACTTAGATGTGTTGAAATAACCTAAGAGCACTTTGAAGAAACTAGAAACCACACACTGTAATGTTTGGAATGAAAATAGGAGTCATCGCCTCATCGGTGCTGGAAATCCTAAATTTTAAAACACTTAGAAGTCAGGGATAGTTTCCTCAGAAGCACCCTGTAAGTTTGCCACAAAGACAAATGCTGCTTAGATCTTCGGCTTGTCATAGCAATGAAAATGAATTATGATTTCAGATCATATATAGGTGGTCCAGACTTATTCCGTATTTCTTTGGAAAAAAAGAATGAAGTTAGCCTGTAAAACAGTCAAATGTATTTCTAGAGTTCTGTGGGTAGTGTTCCTTTTGTGACCAGATTTACTAGTTGATAACAATTGAGAGATTTTTTCCTTAGTGTAGAAAATAATTACGTATCCTATAAAGATAAACCTGTAAAATAGCAGTATCACAATTCATTTTATTGACTTGGGTATGCCTCCCCCGTGTACAAAACCTATGTCATCAGTAATGACTAAGCTTTGCTTTACATTCAATTCCATTTCACATTGATCGAGAGTATATATTGGGCAAAGCATTTGAATACGTTTTGGAGAGTTGGATGGGTACAGTGATGTTCAGTCATACCCACTTCTGATGAAGCCTTTTATATTCTCATTGGAAAGGGAAGGACACATTTTTTAAGGTGAAGCAGAAGTTTGATGAAGCAGAAGTTTGTACACATATATTCTGAATTTACGCTCATTTTTCTCACACGTGGCCCAGTAAGAGCCACATTCTAGCATTGAACCCTGGCATTGCTGCCCTCCAATCCCTGATCCCTACCTAGTGAGTCAGTTGTGCAGTCTGCCAACAGCTTACTCCCAGTATGAAGCAGCACTGACTTCTCACCACTGGAGGCTGTAACTCCTGTCTCTTTCTCTCACGCTATAGTTATATTCTCTAATGCCAAAAAGATCTGGCTTTCTGGGGGTGACCTGGAGACACTGAAGTACAAAGAAGACATACTCGAGATAAGTAAAATATGACTAAAAGCAACGGAGAAGAGCCCAGGACGGGGGGCAGGATGGAGAGATTTCAACAAGGAGTACGAAAGCGCACACTGTTAGCCAAGAAGAAAGTGCAGAACATCACAAAGGAAGATGTTAAAAGTTACCTATTTCGGAATGCTTTTGTGCTGCTCACTATCACCGCTGTCATTGTGGGTAAGTCATTTGATAACAACTGAAAAAGAAAGAAAGAAAACCTGGATCTTGTTTCTCTGAGGCAACTGGTTGCCTGGGACAGATTGTAGGTATTCAAAATGATAACCTCTGGTAGGCTTCCCTCTGAATTTACAGGTTGTTTTTCCATTTAATGACAGGTCTTCGGGGGTGTTTGGAGCAGTATATCATAAACACAAAAGAACCTGAAAGAAGCAAAACACAAATCAATTGATCTTGTGGAAAGGGGAAATAAATCAAATGTTTTCTCATCTCACGAGCACAGCACAGAAGAATGATAATTTAATCATTAGGCTTGAGCAGTTTAAAAAAAAAAAAAAAAAGCAAGCAAGCATGCAGTCTCGATTTAGCCAAAATGCAATCATTAAACAATGTCACTTTCACTTGAAACTAATTTACACAATTAGTATACCCAAAATGAGCCACAGGGCCCTAAGAGTAATTCCATTCTAACCGGTACTGACAGGAAAGGGAGCGAGGCTTAGACACAGAGGCTGAATCTTTTATGTGTTTGCCCGCTCTCATCCAGTGACTGGGAAAGGTAAACTGGAGAGAATGTTAACACAGATCTCTTTCATTCATTGCCTCAAAGCGCCTGCTATAAATAGCTATACCATTTTTGAAGCATTTCATCCAGTTTCTAATTTTGCATTGTGGACAGTAATCTTTACTAATGAAATATCATTTGTTCTCTTGGCTTATTTGTATCTTACAGTTTTTTACTTATGGGTAACATTGACCTTACTTTAAAATATACCTGAAAAAAAAAACTATTTATTTAGAATTTTGGACTTAACCAATAGAAAAATCTTGAGGTTGGTAATCGCTTAAGCCAATACCATGTTGTAGAAAGTGTTCTAATTTAAATTTCTACTAGCCTGCCACAAATAAAAGCATTTACGTGCAGTTTTATTCTCTATACCTTAGAGTTTGCCACTATCTTCACCAAGTATAGAGAATAATCACTATAAAAACTAAGAAAATTCTGCAGATTCTAAATATAAGTAGAATTCTATCCAGAAGGCAGGACAGTAAAATCCTATAGGGAGGACAGCAAAAGAGCAATTTGTCATGAATTTAGATATATTTCAACAAGGCTTGGTAAAAAGAGGACTTAAACCTCTGTCTTTAGATTTACAGTCTAATGCTTAATCGGCCATTGGCTTCTCTTCATCATTGTTGATGATTAATGATTGTTCAATTCATCGTAAAGGTGTCCAAAGAGAAAATGCCCTGGTGAAAATAAAACTTTTTTAAAAGAAAATAATAACTTTATTTCAAGATGTAAAAAGAACTTAACCAAAAACTGCACCATTCATGAACCTAGAGACTGCTCTTGATAGGTTCCCAGGTTTGAATACATTTCTGGAAGAAGTGTTGTGATCCTGCCTCATTGGTTTAGAAGTCTGTGTAAAATGTGGTAAACTCTCTCCATTTATTGATTCGAATTACAGATGTTGTTAAGCCAAGCAATAGCTATATAGTAATAAGAGTGAACATTATATAGCAGTAGCTCAGCTACTTTCTATAGATTATTTTTATTAGATCCTAGCACACTTAATCCTTAAACAAGTTTATGAAGTGAGTGTAAAGTTATAATTACTATGATCCTCATTTTATAGAAGAGGAGACTAAGTGTGGAGAGGACAAGTACTTTGGCCAAAATCATGCAGCTAGTAAATGCTAGAACTACTTAGTGCTGTCTAGTGCCAGATGACATTCTTTTAAACAACCTGCCATCTTGCCTCTCTGCTCTGCTGACTGGTTGACATCGTGTGAGAAATGCCAGAAAGAGAAATGCTAATGTCTTGGTAGAAGCCAAGCAGAAGTAGTGCTAGATACACTCATATCACATTGTCATTTCGTTATACAATTTACCTAGTTAAACTCAATGAAAATTATAATTCTCCTGAAAATTATTAAGTCATTTTTTTAACAAACACCATTTAGTTTGCAACCCTATATGTATAGTGATAGAGCTCTGTGATTCTGGAATATGTTTGAAAAAGAGGCAGAAATGTGGCCTCTCCCTGGTGGCACAGGGGTTTAAGCACCGCACCATGAAGCTCTCAGAAGCCACTACAGCACGAGTTCAATCCCCAGCCAGGGAGCTGACCCATATGGCATGGCAGACTTTTTCCTGTCTCGCCCGCTGCTCCCCTTAGTGTATTTCAGTAGATCTGCCTATTTTGCTCCCCACTCTATCTCTGGTGAATCCTCACCCACCACACCACACTTCTGGCCTGTACCCCAGTTCTATAAGCATAAATAAATAAATCTTTGAAAATTTTTTTTTAAAAAAGAGGCAGAAATGCTTAAATATAAGAGCACAATATCTAGGACAGAAATGTTTCACAGAGTAATGGAAAGTAATAAAATCTGGACTTGGAAAGCAGGTCGATGGAGTAGGAACTTTCTAATTGATTACAAGGAAATAACATTCCTAAGAGAAGACAGATAATGCCAGGGTTTAAGAGTCCGTTTTCTCTAGGAGTTCTGGGATCACTTCCTGGCCCAATAAGGCTTGTGAGAACTGCAATGACTTGGCTGAGCAGGGGTAGATAACTTGGCAGGATGCCTTCATGGTTGGCTTTACCAGTGGAAACTGAGGAGGGAGAAATAACGAGAAGAAGGCACTCACAAAGAAACAAATGAAAAGAGCTCATTGATAGTCAGCAAGACCACTGAGTCGACACTAAAGACTTAACTCTCACAAGTAGACAATGAAGTAGCAACTAGATTTAGGAGAGGAGGAAGAACTCGTCGGTTATCTCTTGGTGTGTCTTCTGTTGACATATCAGTAGAGAAAAAGGCTCCATTCAGCTCATCACCAGATCCATGTCTGCATCAGTCCCTGAAGAAATAATAAGGAAAGAACATGCCTGGATATAAGCTCTCCACTTTATATTGTGGCAGCATAGGAAAAAAAAATGGATGTTATCAAGGAAAAAGAAAATAGTTATTTCCTCCAAAGATGAGGTGAGAAAACTATAGCTATTCAATTTTTAATTCTTAGGTTTTGATTTAGTTTAAAAAAATAGAAGACTGAGAATACATGTATGTTGAGGAGAATCTGTTACTCAGTCTGTTTTGTCTTTTTAAAAGAAAATGTTTGTTTTTTTTTTAATATATGTAAGTGGTAGCTACAGATGGTCTCCAACTTAAAGTGGTTTGACTTATGATTTTTCCATTACAATAAGGCAGAAGCAATATGTATTCAAGAGAAACCATGGTTCCATTTTCACTTTGAGTACAGTATTCAACAAACTACATGAGATATTCAACACTTTGTTATAAAACAGGCTTTGTGTTGGATGATTTTTCCCTACTAAAGACTAAGTGTTTTCTGCACTTTTAAGGTAAGCTAGACTGAGCTATAATATTCACAGATAAGGTGTATTAAATGCATCTTCCACTTATGATAGTTTCAACTTACAGTAGATTTCTTGAAATATGATTCCATTGTAAGTCAAGGAAGATCGTTAAAAAAAAAATACTGCAAGGAGTAGAGACATGTCAATACATCTATTCAAAATAAAATGGAATTATAAACATTTCAACACCAATTCATGATACTCACAGGCAGGCATAGAACCACATGTGCAATGTGAAGTCATTTTTAAGCAATGGCATGTCTTATGTCATTTCTAACTCATGTCACATATTGAGTATACTGTGCTGTGACAAAACACACCCAACAGGATCAGGTTAGAAACAGAAGAGAAGGCAGTTCCAAGTGTTAAGTCCTTTATGAGTGCTCATTACCGAAGTGTTAGCTAAAGTGTCTTGGAGAATTCTTTGGTTGCAGGTATCGTACAAAACCACACAGAAAAGAGTGTTTACTGTCTTTCTCTCTCCAGGAAACACTTTTTCATTTCAAACTGTGGTAAAGTTGTGTCAGAGTGACCTCAGACATCTCACTGAAAAAAAGGAAAGTCCCTTGTCATGTTCAAGCCACAGAACTCTGAGACTTTCCATGTCCAAGGGACGACTATAGTACAATAAAAAAAAAAGAAAGAAAGAAAGAAATCTCAGGCAAAAGAATTCTGAAGAAATGGGTCATACGATCACATGTAAACGAATAGAAACTGTAAATAGAATTGTGTAGAATTGGCCTGAGGGAATTCACAAACACAGGAAATAATACCTTTCTCTGTTACTGATCTACACACACAGAGCTCATATTTGCGTTGTCCTTTATATGGCTTTTTGGGAAATCGGTAATGTCTTGCGAAGAAAACATACTAAAATTTTTTTGAATTATATATATTTCTTTTCTTACATCATTGTTCATTTTTGTACAGTATTTGATTTCTCCTCTCAGGTGCATCCCCTTAGTTCTTCACCACCATCGCACCCATGATCCATCACCACAGTCCCTTGTGCTTTTCTCTCCTCTGCTTTGAGCACTCTCCCGTCCCCTCCCTTGCTGTGTGCCTCAACTCTATGGTCACATCTGACTAAATTTATATGAAATGTTGTCAACTAGTCCTTAACACTATTTAAAACTGTATTTAAATTGCACTAAAATTCAAAGCATTGTCTGTCTGTGGTAGGCAATAAACTGGTCATCTTAGCTTCCTCTTGGGTTAGGAGCAGGGTGTTTGGGGAGTGGGATGAGAGAAATATTACTTTCCTTTAAAAACTTTTTTATAGTTTGAACACTTTTTACCACAGTCACCTATTTTCTACTCTGTTAAATAAATAAGTTATGTTTTTTTCTTTAAAGGATTGAATGCTATTAAGCAATCTAACAAATAGACTGTTGTATGTCTAGCCCTGGGCTATGCAATAAGTCTGCCCTCTGGTAGTTTAGGAGAGACGGATGGGGGAGGAGGGAAGTGACATATGAATATACAGCTCAGAGGTAGTAAGACCTGTTATTAACTGAACATTTTCTTCAGTGAGACTATATTATCCATATATCTGATGTCTGTATTGATACTTTAGTTTCCATTTCTTTAATAACAATTGCACCGGGA